GCCCCTTCCGCTCAAGAGGCTTTTTCGCTGTGCTCTTCCGCCCAGCTTTTGTGATGTGAGCAGCTTTGCTCCACCATGCCCTTCCGCCATGACACTTCTGCCTTGGATCAGCCAGCCATGGAATGAAACCTTTGAAACTGTGAGCCAAATTAGATTCTCTTCCTTTAAGTTTTGGAAAGCTGACCACTACAGAAAATAGGTACCAGAGAAATGGGGTGATTGCTGTGACTATACCTGACCATGGGGTTCAGAAGTCTTTATAACTCATTTGTGGGAAAAGTTTGGAGAAGTGAGCTAGAGCAAGCTCAAAATGCTGCAAGCAGAATCTGATGGGTGATTCTGGCTGGAGCTCACATGACCAGAATGCTAGCGGTAAAGGCCAGTTCATGCAGTTTTAGATGGGAACACGGGAATTCTTTAGGGAACTGCACTACAGGCCATGCATGTTACATTCTGGCAAACAATTTGTCTAGATTTTATCCATGCTCTAAACTGTGTGAGACTGGGCTTAAGGACGATGGACTGATTAATCTGATGGAGAAAATTTCAAGGCAGCATAACCCTCAGGCTGTGGTTGAGTACCACTGGCTGATTTTAGCCAGAGTTTTAGTGTGAAGTGGAAGCAAAATGCAGAGCAGAAAGATTTAAAGAAAAACTGGCCAAAGAGAATCACCCATACAATTGGGGAGCAGAGCAAAACAGGTGTGGCTGCTGAAGAGATTAGCACAGTCAAAAAGAAACCAAGTACTCTGAACCAGGACAAGAAGAAAGATGCCTCATGGGCATCTCAGAATTCAGCAGAACCTCACCTAGTGCAGGCTCAAGGGTACAAATGTGTCAACTTTTCATTTAAGAAAAGACCCCAGATGCCTGACAGGGCTGCCTAGGGAATTGGTTCCCCGGGATTCATTTCACCATGCTCAGCCAGCCATCCAGGCACCCAGAGGCTGCTACAGCAGTGGCTCAAGGTGGCCCGGCTGCTGCTTGCACTGGCAGCAAGGGCTGTGGCACTGTCTGATGTTGTTTTTTCAGGCACACAGAATGAAGTTATGAGGGTCCAACAGGCTTCCACCTAGATTTCAAAGGAAGGTCTGGCTGGGGCCAGGCAAAAATATGTGGCAGGATTGGAGTCCCTGCCAGGAGCCCCTGAGAAGAAAGTCCTCGAAACTACCTGGGTAGAACCAAGGCTTCAACAGAGACCTCAGGATCTGGGAAGGAAGAACGTCTGCCCGAAAGCTTTAGGCTGCAAGGAGAGCTGGCCCAGGTGGAGAGAGGCCATGTGGGCTACAAACAGCAAAGCCCATAGAGATGGGCCCACCAAACCCTCTGGGGCTCACATCTCACCACCATGGGCTCTGGATGCCAGCATGGACCCAGATCACTTATTGTTTGCCCTGATAGGTTCTGGTCTTTCTTTGGTCCTATTCTTTTCTATCCCCCATTCCTCCCTTTCTGAAACCTTCTTTCACATCTTTTAGTGGCTGTCTTGATGTCCTAAATCAACTCAAAATGTTTACAGCAATTTCTGTCAAATAAAAACATTATAGGGCTGGGGATTTAGCTCAGTGGTTCTGCTGCTTGCCTTACAAGCACAAGGTCCCGAGTTCGATCCCCGGTGCCAAAAAAAAAAAAATTACAGTGTGTCCTCATCCACCTTACTCATTGATTCTGGTATCATGTGACTTCAGGCTCTCCTCCAAAGTCAAAATGATCATGAAAGATAAATGTTTTGAATTAATTCAGGATGAGACAGCCACAATGGTGCAACTAAAAACACTGAGGAAAGTGGGGCTCCCAGAACTGGTTCAGAAAGCAGCAAGAATGATGGGATAAGTGTGTTTGAAGTTGGGAGGTATAATATTTTGTTTTGTTTTGTCTTTGGTACTGGGGATTGAACTCAGGATCTTGTGCTTTCGAGGCAGGTGGGAGAACCACTGAGCTAAATCCCCGGCCCTTGTTTTGTTTTAATGAGAGTAAATGTCTATTCAGCACTTCCCACCACCCTGCCACCAGCCTCACATCCTAGACAGCAGGCACCTCCTTCCTGGTTTCCTGGAATATGTCCTTCCCCTTCATGAAGGCAGGGGACAAGGCTTAACCAAAATCATGGTGTACCTGGCCTGCTGCTTTCTACTGCTGGAGTTAAAGCTCAAACTCATTCCTGAGATTCATTCATTCATTCACTCATTCATCAAAAATTGAGCACCTCCCAAGTTCAATCCCCAGTATCTCTCACCCCAAAACAGAGCACCTATTGCATACCAGGCCCTAGAATAATCCCAATTCTTTTTTTTTTGTACTGGGGATCAAACTTGGGTCCTTGCACTTGCACAGCACGGGGTGAAACCACTGAGCTAAATCCCTGGCCTGATAATCCCAATTCTTGTGGGACTCTCAGAAGAATTGACAAATACATTAGTAAGTACCAGCCATTAGATAGCAACCAGCTTTACAGATAGCATCTGGGAGGGTAATCAGGACAGTCAAGAATCACATTGCCACATTACACACAGTGGGCAGAGGAGACTTCAGTGTAGTATGACACTTAGGCAATGGCTCGAGGAGGTGACAGGGGTGAGAGTACAAGCTACAGGCAACATCTGGTGTGGGGGCGCTGTTTGCTCTTCTGGAACTTGAGGACTACCCAGGTTGCAAGATTTCCAGCATTCAAACGGGGAAGGTCATGGGCATACCAGATGATGTGGTCACTTGAGTCTAGAAAAGGAAACAGCAAGTAAAAAAGCCCACAAGGGGTACTATTTTGAGGGGGATTAATGACAACATGTCTTTCACTGTTACAAAAGTTTAAAAATCAAATGTTCACTGTACTTTTTGATCATAACATTTATATTCTCTAATAGTATGGATCCTTTCAAGAGTGAGGGGAAAAACTCCTACTCTTCTCCCCTTTTTCTTTTCCCACTTTCTTCTGCCTGAGCTTGAAGGCAATTTGGCAGGAACGAAGCCCTAGCTGAGGGTGGACAGGCACCTTGGGGCCTCTCTCTCCCCAGAGGAAATAATAGTCCTAAAGCATTTAAGAATCCCACTGCAGAGAGGAAGAGTAAGCCAGAAACTGGGATGAACTGCTATAGTCTGAGTATGGCCTAACATGAGTGTGAAGTCTGTGGAGGTTGCAATCACAGTAGACTTTTCACCATCAGCTGGCTTTCCTCCAGGAACCTTCAAAGGCTCTCCAACGCAGCTGGAAATCAGGGAGAGAGCTTATCACTTCCACCACCTGGAACCTGGGGTGGACAGCAGCCAATTAAGCCATTCCAGATCCACTTACTGTATCTTTCTGTGTACCACCACCAGAGTCTGTGCCCTGAGAACACTGGTAGAATACTACTACATCTAGGGGAAGGGAAAGCAGGCCAGCACCTAGTCATCACTATGTAAAGTAAAAACAGCCTTAATACGCAAGGGAGAGAGGCTTAAAAAACCTTAACCTGAGGATTCTGTTGATTACTCACTGCAGTTAAGGAAAAAGAAGGGGAAAGATGCAGAATTATGTGAAGGGCACAGCCTCAAATCTGCACTTCAGTACCAACATAAATCCAAGGTTAAATTGGAATGTCCTTATTTACATAAGAACCAAGAGAGATTATGTAAAGGTGCAAATTTCCAAGGATGAATGTCATTATATTGTATATCTAAAATGTACCAATAAAATTAATTTTAAAAAAACCTGAAATGTCACTGAACTGCTCTCAGCCTCCACTACCATTAACAATCTTTGAGGAAAAGTAATAGTGGGCCACAGCTGGGAGAGCCTCGAGAGACACTCTGAGGAAGAGCACAGAGGGAAATTCAAAACCAAGCAGAGACAAGGAAAAAATTATTAGCAGGGAAATTTGAAGCCTCTGGTTCCCATGGCAACAGCAAATGTCAATTTCAGTAACCATAGCAGTAATAAACTTCAAACACTGTAAGCCTCTGAATCTATGAACCCTAACCCCTGCCCTGCAGGAAACCTGCAGCCAAACAGTTCAAAGCATATCAAATATTTACCTTAGTATCTCCTGCGACAGATAACACACACAGCTCAGACTAAAGCATGCTAAAGACAGTGATGGAGAGGACACAAAGCAATCAGAGCCAGACTCACATATGACATAAATTTTGAAGCTATCAGAGAATTTACAATATAATTAATGTAGTAAATGTTCTAATGGAAAAGGCAGACAACACGTGTGATCAGGTAGGTTATTTCACAGATAAATGGAAGTCATAAGCAAGAATTAAGTATAAATCCTAGAAAAGAAAACACAGTAACAACAAATGTTTTTGACAAGCAGTATGTATGTACTGAAATAGGAGACTTCAAACAGTTGAAAACAGGCTGGCAAAATTGCCCAAACTGAAATGTAAAAAGGAAAAGAAATTTTCCTACTTGGAGAAAATATCAAACACTGTTATACACTCATACTTCAAGGTCCAGGAGCAGAAGAGAGAGAACAGAGGAGAAGAAATGTTCGAATGGCCAAGAACTTACCAAAATTAATAAACTATATATCACCAAACTATGTATCAAGAAACTCTGAAAATACATACTAAACAGGATAAAGGCCCCAAACACCAGCCTAGTATTGTTATAGCTTGTGTCTAGATATCCCCCCAAAGCCTCATGCAGTCACAGGCAGGGCTTTTCAGAGGTGGCTGGATCTAGAGTGTGTGATGCTGGGATTATGTATCTAATGCTGGGATCAAGGGTGTGTGATTACTAAATTAGTTCTCTGATTAGTTTGGCATAGTTCTGGGTATGGATAATGGGAAGGCCCACCTTGGGTGTGTAGCCAGGATAGAATATAAGGGATAGAAAGAGGGCTGTTACTGTCACTTGCTGCTGCTACTTTGCTGCTTTCTGCCTGCCATGAACTGTTTCTCCTGTGCAATGCCTGTTTGCCAAGCCACCCTGCCTTGGAGCCAGCTGACTATGAACTGAAACTTGAACAAACTGTGAGCCAAATAAACCTTTCCTCCTTTAACTTTGGGTGTCAGGTATTTTGTTTCAGCAACAAGAAAAGTAACTAAGACAAGTAT